TTTATTCATTGAGGAGTTTATAGGATGCTTCTGAATCTATGGGTTGGTGGGCGCAGAATCCTACAGAAAATCAGATGTAGTAGTCCTGCATCTACTTTGAGCTGTTATTTTTGATTTGTCATCATCTGACAGTTTCATTTGAGGATCAAAGTCCCTCCTAAATACACAGAAATGACTTTCATAACACAGAATCATAGAATGGAAGGGACCTTAAAGACATATAGATATTATCACCTTTATTTTAATTAATGACTACCTAAGGCCCAGAGACACAGCTTGATCCAGTATCAGGGCATCCCATCTTGCCATCACATGCTCTGCCCACCAGCAGGACCCCCTCCTGCCACATGTGGCAGGGACAGAGTGCACTACGGGTGGTTTTTCTCCCTGGAAGCCAGTAGCAGTGTCCACTGACACTATGCTTAACTGTGGCCAAACTAGGAAACATTATTCATCCTTCTTTTGGGACTGCAGCAGATCCCTGCATGAAAAATGGTCAGCTAAAGAAGTATGCTTTGACTAAAGCTACATGATTTAATTAAACATTAGATTAACTCTCCCCAAAGGCACCAGCAAAAACCACCACAAGCATATATGCAAAAGATGGATGGTTGTGGATGGACCTACATGACCTTTTCCACAACCTTTTACATAACACTAGTACAGGCTTAGACAAAAAGTAGTCTTGTTCTTTCTGAGCCAGCATGAAGTGCAGCCAGGAAGTGTTAGTCATGAGAGAGTTTTGGTTGTTGTAGTTTGGAACCCCAACTGGAGTGTTTGCTTTGTACAGTGCCACTAAATGCTAAAACATCTAAATCAAGAGGTGGCCACTATCTCTGTCAAATCATGTTTCTTTTTAAAATAGTTTTTGACTAAACTATTGCTGTTAGAAGAAATTTTCCTCTTTACGCCCTCACACGAAAAGGCAAATGCAAAAGAAACAGCCAAGGAACTGAAATAGCATATCTTCAGTAAGATCTTGCAGGATTTCATATTAAAGTATTCTGAATTGTGTTTTAATGGGGAAAAATAAAAAAAGAGAGATTACTGGTTTTGTAACCAAAATAGAAAAGATGTAAAATTTTTCTTGGAAGGTGTCGTGGTTTAAACCCAGTCAGGCAACTCGTTCACTCACCTCCCCCCCAGTTTTTATCCTCTAGAATGAAATTGAATATTTTTCATGGGTTAGTCTGAAAAACTTATTTCCAAATCTTGTGAAACAATACATCTTTCTTTAGTTATGAGCCATTCACAAGGGTACATCCACCTTGTAGGCTCCTGTGTTCTGGTCACTTTCGAAATTTCCACTTTTGGCCAAATAAACAGCGTTTTTGCACAAAAATGAAATTTGCTTCTACAATCAATATGATTTTCAGCAAAGCATTTGAGCAGTAAGTACAATTGGTTATGTTCACTTTTAATTCCTGAAGTGAATCATGGAAACTCTACCATAATAACGTGCTGTTATTAAGTGCTATACAGCTACAGTTGCTATAAAAACAAAGAAGAAATCTGAGGGGGTGAAATAAATCTTCAGCTGGTACAAGTCAGCGTGGCCTTACAGAACTGATGAGAGCTCCACCGATTTAAACAAACAGAGGTTTTGATATGGCCCATGGTTTATTCACTAAACTGAACGAACTGTGGTGAAAGAATAGGATTTGCCCTGAAATCCACATTCCTAAGGATCATTTAAGAAGGCCTTCTCAAACATGAGGTACAGTGTGAAAAATAGTGTAGAAGGTATGGTGGATAAATCATGCCACAAAGGAGACAGGTGGGAATCAGGATGACAAGCTGAAGCTACCAGGTGCTGGAGAAGGTACCGAGGTTCAGAGGTGGGTGCTGGCTTGAGATGGAGTTGAAGCACAAGTACCCTGCTTTCTCCAAGCTGCTCACTGCCTCTTTCTCCTGTCCATGCTGTCTTCTCTCTCATGAATATCACTGTCATTCAGCTAGATGGTCCACTGCCCCCCCCAAATCACACAGGGTTAAAATTAATTTGGCAGAAGACTGGGTGGGTTTAACCTGGACATGTTCACAAACCATGCAGATGAGGCCCTTAGTGCCATGGTTTAGTGGTGGCCTTGGCAGTGCTGGGGAATGGTTGGACTTGACGATCTTTAAAGGTCTTTAAAGGTCTTTTCCAACCCTGTTGATTCTATGATTCTGTGACTCCACTGAAGCAGATCCCTTATGACTGCTCCACAGCACATGGTTTAGGCTAAAGGAAATACTGGCTCAACGCCTTCCAGCAGGGTGGGTCTTCCCAGTATGTGATCTCCTCCCATTCCTGGGAAGCAAACCAGGGATGTGTTACCTCAGTGGCGGATCTGCCTTAAGCATCACAAAGTAACACTGAGCCGTGAGAAGTGAGACTTCAGAGGAGGTCAATTGAATTCAGGTCCTAACAGGTATGTTATTCTCAGCCCTGCAAGCTTCTGTTTGGAGCGTTAATTTGCTTAAAGAGTAAGATTATTTTAATCACTAATGCACCCTTTTCAGGCATGTTGCCTCTATTTTGTGCAGGGCTTTGAAGAATTTCATAACAGTGCCTTTACATCACTGCACTCAGACACAATGTTAACCATTGTGAGATAAAACATGTTTTTTTACATTTGTATTAGTGTGGAGCTTTCCATTAGCCAATATTTTCCTTTTCCCATTATGAATATTTCAAGCCATGTATGTTCTTATGGGGAATGATATAGACATCTGAATTTTAGGAAAAACAATGCTGCTTCTAAGTGGCAGCTGAGCAGGGTGGTTGTATGTTACCTACTCATAAAGTATGATCAAGACTATGTCAGAAAGTGGTACAAAGCAGAAGGCATGGAGGTATGATGCACTGCTCCGCGCTTCATGGTAGGTCAGCAACCCTGCATGCACTATTTGGACAGCTTCCATTAGGCATCAGTTGACAGAAGGGATATTTAGGCAGAAGTTCTTCCCCGTGAAGGTGAGGTGCTGGCACAGGTTGCTCAGAGAAGCTGTGGCTGCCCCATCCCTGGCAGTGTTCAAGGCCAGGCTGGACGGGGCTTGGAGAAACCTGGTCTAGTGGAACGTGTCCCTGACAAAGGCAGGTGGTTGGAACTGGATGAGCTTTAAGGTCCCTTCCAACCCAAACCATTCTAGGGTTCTACTTTCCAACAAATGATAACTAAGGATCCTTATGGACTGCAGTTGAAGGAGTGTGATAGCAATGATCAAGATAAAATGAGATAAGAGTTATTTATATGATTGACATTCTGCCTCAGTGTCTCTGCACAAAGCCCTCTCTGCCTGCCATGCAGGCACTGCATTCCCAAGGCATTCTTGCAGCCTACACCACATCAACAAACAATAGCTAGCCTTCTTTCATTTCCCTGCCCTGTTTCTGTGAACAGCACTCTGTTGACAACCAACTCTGTTCTCACTCCTGAAGAATTCCAAAAATTGAAGGATATAAGGACAGCCTGTGACTTTCAAGAGGCATCTTAAAGCATCTTATTTTTAAAATTGTGGTTTGCTGCTGCTTTTTGTTTGGTTTCTGTTTCAAAGGAAAACTACAAAAATGCAGTTACCCTGCAAATCCCTCCTCAGACCAGAGAGCTGTTCTGAATGCAGCATCGCTAGTAGCACAAAAATGCAAATACATGGATTACTTTCTCTGTCTGACCATTCCAGAACAGCCTTTCCTCTCTAAACAATGATGTTAATGCTGAGTGCCAAACTGTGCAATTGAAATCTTTTGCACAAGAAAAATAGATGAGTGGATATAGGTTTGCTTTCCTTGACAACCAGTCCCAAATTTAAAATGGACAGGACACATGTAAGATTGAGAAAGCCCAGCCTTCTTAACTCCCTCTCTTGTTCCCAAAGAACAAGTAGTTTTGGTCAGATGACAAGGGGAGGAGAGGAGAGGGGAGGGGAGGGGAATGGAGGGAAAAGGAGAGAATAGGAGAGGAAAGGGAGCTGAACTTGCTATGTTGTTACACCTTGCCACATTTTTTTGTGGTACTATGTTTCCTTTGCACTACCAGGCTAATATCAGAGACTAGAAAATGAGCAAAGTCTCTCCCTACGTAGTCAGCTGTGATAGTTTTCTAGTTTGGAAATAAAGAAAAAAATACAGACACCTTTTAGTGCATTTTCACAGTAATGTATCTGTTGTTGGTATCCTTGATTTAGGGGGTGTCTGCCTGTGCACTTATACTATGTCTATCTGCTCAAGAAGCTTGATGAACTTGAAGCACCCTGTCTTAAGATCACTTCTACAAAACCTCAGCACTGCCTGCATCTTACTACAGGACCTTATGTATAAGAATGCCTCAAGGAAAGCCCATTTGTAATTTAGGCCAAATTTGTTCTTGACTTCTGACTTCTCTGGGTGGATCTGGCACAGTCAAGGCCAAAATGGAACATCAATGAACAAGTGATGGCATCACTGAAAAATTAAAACAATTGGAAAATGAGAGTCAAAGGAATGTGAAAGATCTAATCCCAGGGCTTCCTGTTTCAGATGACAGTTTATTCAGACGGCCTCCAGATAATCTAAGCCAGATACAGGGCACACAGACTTATTATGATGTTTATTCTCTTGTCTTTGTTAGCTGTCAAATGCAAGAGCAGTCTACCCTGGATGCATTTATGCCCTACCATTTCCACACATGTTCAGATTTAGGCTTTGATTTATGGTGATGCTATGGAAGCAGCATGGGATTAAGAAAGGGTCTAAGAAATATAAATGACTGAGAAAAAGCAATAAATGTCTGTCCTCTGTAGGTCATTATTTCTATAGCAATTAAATATACTTAGTATAAATATTTCCCATAGAGTAGTGTAAAGGGACTACTAATATGCAGAAAATCAGTCCCAGATCATGCTAAGTATTGCCTGGAAGAGGTAGTTAGTTAAGTCAGGTTTAGATAATTCAGCTGTCAAAACAATACAAGAACAAGGACAAACTACTTTTATAAGAATCAGAAGTCAAAGTCAAGTCATTTAACCAAGTTGAATACCTGGTTAGGTTATCTTTACTGCATGTGAGTTAACAGCCTATGGTATCTTCACAGTGACAGTCAAGTCTACTATCTCCACAGGAGGAACATGGAGGCTGCAGCACTGGAAGTCAAGGTGGTATCCAGAGGGCAGATACTAGCCTAGGCAAAGGGAAAAAAAGGGCAAAGCTTAGAGTGGTACCAGCACTGGTGAACAGTACATGCACACTGGAGAGCTGACAGAATGTTTTGCCTGGCTTATTCCACTGTAAAGACAGTCGTGGTCAGTTTTCCAGCAGAAACGGTTTGCGTTTATTCCTGCTGTAGCCACACTGAAAGCTGGGAGTTATATAGAAATATATAGAAATTTGGAATTTCTAGCTCTAAACCCAAATTTCTCAAGCAAAACAAAGGAAACATTCTAAGTGCGACATTCATGAAACTACTAAAGCAAACAGATCTCCTTCGCAACTTCAAAGTTCAGGAATTTGGTAAGTGCTACAGTTTGAACTAGACAGAACTACTGGTACATGCTTGAAGAGTGTTTCTGTCTTATCCACGCATGTGTCCAGGATGAACATATGCAAATATGTAAGAGTATTTTCAGAATACACTCATTATAATATTATTTTGAAATGAATCTCTTTTTTTTGTTTATTGTTGTTACACTGACTTAGGTGTTTTATCTGTCCTAGGTTTTACATTTAGTGCTTCTAAACCTAGGATCTGTCTCAAGTATTATAGCAATCATATTAATTAAGTGCTACAGCCACTTTCCTTCTTTTATGATACTGTTCATATTATGAAAGCTCTTAAGTCACAGAACCCTGGAATTCATTTTGCATAATACACACTCACTAAAATAATTTCCTGAAGGCTGGTTATTAGTAGCAATTTTAATGAGGTTTGCTCATGTATTTAGCTTCAAATGGATGCTTAAGATCAGAACCTGAACTATACATTTGACTGAACTGAGAGCAAGAGTTATGAGCCCAGTCAGAGACCGAACAGCTTGAAAGTTGTTATAGATACCCAACCTCTGTCTAAAGCCATGGTAATACATACGTCACTACACACATTGTATGGCTGTACATGAAAAATGTAAATTAACACACGCACTAAGCTCTCCTGGTATTTTTTCTAACTGTAGGCTAACTTCAACCTCAAGTCGTATGTGATCTACTGTTTAATTACATGTAAAATAGACAAGGGAAGTTCTTAATGACCTGCAAGACACAAAATGTATCTATTATACAATACTGATGAAAATTAGTCCTATGTGAGTCTACATTTTAGGCACAAGTATTTCCAAGAGTCCCAGTTGTGTGCTGAGCACTCCCAAAGCTGGCACAAAGGTACAGGGGTGATAGTGAAGAACTGGCACCCAAAGGCAGCTTGCAAGTTCCCAGCAGAAGGCATAGCCAGGAGGGGCCCTAGCTGGTCAACCCTTCCCTAGAGGAAGAATTCCCTTCCCTTTCCTCTCATGCCTGGGCCAGAGACTGGTGTTCCCATAGGAAACACTCCTCCCTACCTGTTGGCAGAGCAGTAGTTTGCAGGCTGTGCTCTATGGCTGTCATTTGTGCTTAAACATGTTGGCCAAAACTGAAGTAGACTTCTCTTGTTTAGTGTAGGCAATCAGAAGCCACAGTGAGTGAATGATGTTACATTACAATGAGAAGACGAACGCTTTCAGTCCCAAAATGGTGAAGAGCTACTTGAGGTGTTGCATCACATGACAGCTGTCCTCCTGGATTGAAAGCCTGATGATGAACACAGAGGGGGGCTCTTGCCCATCAGGATGTTGGTACCACAACAGAGGTGCTTCTTCTCACCCTCAGCAAAATAGATGGCAAGTGAAAAGCATTTGAGCAAGCTTAATCTGCAATAACTATATATTACAAATGTATTTATTCCATTTAGGGAAAAACTCCTGTAAGGCTCCAGATGAGGCATTTCTCACTTAGCTTTTCCTCAGGCTTTAATGAATTGCTTTAATTTACAGATTTAGATATTGATTAGCCTCATTCAGTTGAAATCTAGGCTTAGCAATCTATACTTGTCTATAGTTTATTTGTGATATTATTCCTAAGAAAGAACTGCAATTAATCCACATCAAGAAAAATCAATTAATACAGATTTGTATCACAAAGAAATCCTCTTCAAAGAGAAATCCTGCTAATCCTAAAGCTTAGGTCTTTCTTTACTACCAAGGAGGACAGATAACAAATATTGATTTCACCCTATTTTTACAACTTCTAGTGATACAATAAGAGCACATGGAACAGACGGGGCTTATCAATTAAAACTAGCTTTACATGTGATGAGAGATGAGGACATGCAAAGCCTTTGTTCTCTGCATTATTAATAATTATTAATATGATGGACTAGTAGTTCTGTAATAAGAATAATCACTCCATGCATAGCTCTGAAAGTGCCTGGCTTCACTTCTGGTAGGGTTATGAATTTTACACCCTATGAGTTCCAATCCAGTGATGGTTCTGGAAGTGAAATTGCTGTTAGCTGCAGCTGCATGGGAAAGGAGGACTATTCTGTATAATTTTACACTAATGATACAACATGAAGAAACACAAGATGTTATCCAAGCTAACATCTTTCTAATTTTACCCACTTCTGTCATTTCAACCAAGCTAATATCTGACCTAATTTATTAGAAAGAAAAAAAAAAATCTTATCAGGGTCTTCTTGCAGGAAGCATCACATAAACACCATGAATTAGATTTTTCAATTTTATAAGCCAAATTTTATCCTTGCTACACAAAGAAAACAACGTGTCATTGTCCTTTCACAATTCCTACTGTAAATAGTTTATGTGATTTATTCTTTTGCATGCTAGATAATTACATATTTTATACCAGTGTATCATCAGTATGCTGTTATTCTGACTGCCCTGTAATAGAAATTGTGTATTTTCCCACTGCAGTGAATGCTATTCTTAACATACATTGGCCTCAACCAGCTAAAAATACCACAGTTCTATTGCCTGTGGGAAAGTTTTGCTGCAAGTTATTTCTATTAAAAGTTTAATATTGGTCTCTTCCATTTTTCATATTGTCTGTGCCATACACATTTAATGCTGTCTTCTCTGATACACACTTACTTGCAAGTCCTTCAGTGTCACATATGAGGCAAATAATGTCCTAATTCACTCTAATGCTACCATTAATATGAATGATTAGGAATGAGGTTAGTACTAAAGAATGCCATTTTAAAATAAATTGTGATGACATATCAACAGCTCTATGAAGGATCAAGGAGCATGGATTATTGCAGGTTAGGGCTCAAGATATCGAATGATATGGCTCTGTGTTTGTTCTTGTCAAGGACACTGAGCAATTAGAGGCTCAAGCAGCCAACTGTAATTCTTCCACTGAATCTCTGTGTTACTTGCAGGCTTTTTAACTCTTATGAATTTCTGACAGACAGTAGATTCTGAGAAAAATTAAGGACCGACATGCTGTGAGCTGTTTAAATCCATAGGCAGCTCTTTAAAGAGCCACTCAATGTATTTGGCAACCTATAGCCAGTCAGGCGATGCAGATACAAAGGAAAGCTCTGATTTTCCAAACATTCTCTTTTGAACCCAAATTCATAGAATCAATAAAGATGCTTCTAAATTAATGCTAAGATTTATTTTCTCTGCTGATCCACCTTTAAATTTATCTCCTTGTTATAATGTATTTGCTTTTCTTTCTTTCTCCAGAGGAAAAGAGCAGCCTATTCAGAACCCTGAATTCACACAACTAAACCAGTAACAAGCACGTTTTATAGCTCTCTACCTACACAGTCTGATCCCCATTCTTCTGATGTCTCCATACAATACTTAAGCATTTCAGCAGCTTATAAATCAATACTGTTTCATTTAAAGAAGTGAGCAAGGAGTTGAGAAACATCATCTATTCCTTGTTTAGATTATCAGATTTGGGAAGGACCAAAGAAGATACCATCAACTTTTGGCTCAATCTCCCTTTTAACACAAAGGAGAAAAATATTTTAGCCCCTGAATGTCTGACCAAATGTAAATACCTTCAGCCTCATGGAAGTTTGCAAGGGAAGAAATATTAGTAATCTACATATTATGATTGTTACTATGAAAAAGTGATGGTGCAGTTGAGAAAAACAAGAAAAAAAACAATTAAATTATTTTCTTTTGGTAGCTGCCACTTAGTGTTTGTGGTAGCTTATTTCTAGTTGATACCTGTTGCACTGCTACTCCAGGAAACCACTGAGCTCCTTTAGAATTCCTGGGTACAGATATATGAATGTTTTAAACAAACAAACAAATAAAAGGGGTGATGGTTTAAACTTAAACAGGGGAAGTTCAGGTTAGATCTTAAGAAGTTCTTCCCTGTAAGGGTGGTGAGGCACTGGCACAGGTTGCCCAGAGAAGCTGCGGCTGCCTCATCCCTGGCAGTGTTCAAGGCCAGGCTGGATGGGGCTTGGAGCAACCTGGTCTAGTGGAAGGTGTCCCTGCCCATGCAGGGGGTTGGAGCTGGATGAGCTGTAAGGTCCCTTCCAACTGAAACCAGCCTGGGATTCTATAAAAGTTATCTAGAATATGAATATCTTAACTCTGATTTCAGTAGTTTGTGTTTAATAAGCTGCTGTTGGAACTTTAATAAAGTTATTATTGGAAAGGAAAGTATTTAATGATCCCTATACTCGTTACACAATATGATTTTTTTTCTGAAATAAAGCCAGTTCTATCACTTTTGCCTGATTGTTCTACTATCTTCAGCTAGTGAAAAAGATTAGTATTGTTCAGGTTTTCTGCTTAATATATTAAAACCTGAGCCTGGTAAACACAGATCTGGCTGTTCTCATGTTTCCCTTATTCTGCAATTTTAAGCTTCTTACTCATACGTATTGCTACAAGCTTCCTCTTCTTCACCTACATAATTAAATATATATAAATGTAATAGTTATTGTCCCCTCTGTACTAACCTAGAATTTGTTGATCTTTATAACTACACCAATGTCTTTATTAATTGCGGCTTTTCTGAATGCTCAGTAAACCAACTTCACTAGGATTACTTATATGCTTAAAGTTAAGCACATGTTTAAACATCTCCTTGAGTTGAGGTGTATCTGGTTTCAATTAAAGAACAAAAGAAGAAATAACAAAATTGGTTTCTCTTAATCTG